TGTATAATGGCAGTAATAAAAGCTTACAAAGATAATGAAAAATATTAATTCGGGAAAGGCAATAATTTGTTACTTTCTAGTATTTTAATTAAATGGAGTGTCATGCATTTAACGTTATTGGAATATTTTTCATTACAAGGATTTCCTTTCAAGGCTACAGTTGTAGCGAAAGCCGCAGCATAAATTCCACAAGAGGTGCAATCCGGTTATGTTTGCACTTCTTCGAAAATTATATCATATTTGTTGATCTTAGGATAACGAAGGCGAATATATTCTTTTTCTTTAGCAGCCAATGTTTCGTACGTAGTACCAGATAAGCTGTCGTACACGTGAAGTTTGGTGCCATCAAAATAAATACATCGCCAATGATCTGTGCAATTTCCGCCAATAATTTGTAAGCTTTTATTACTACGACTAGCTTCAATTATATGCGGGTATTCTATATATAACACACTTTGTGTTTCAAAGCAAGAAGTTTCTCTTATTACGCGTAAAAATAGATCTAACGATTCATCATTTAATTTACTCTTTATGGGCAATACATTTTTCTTCACTAATAAGAGCGAAGATATTATATTATCTAACATTTTTCTTTGCTTTTTTATATCATCCTCAGTTAGATCTCTTTTTTCGTTTGAGTAATCAGTTATAATGCAATCGTCATCTTGCTCCATTTCTGGAATAGCAACAGTGGTAGTAGTGTTTTCAATAACACTGTCCACTTTTATGTCATTTTTTTTAGCTACTTGTGCTTTGATGACATACTGCGGTTCTCGAATAGGCATATTTCTTGCCGCTCTACTATCTATTATTTCAGGAACCAAGCAATCTTCGTAGAATCGTGTAAGCTGTGATAACATTTTTGTTTCCCAAAATCTGTTATCACGCTCGACAATCGTGTACTTCAATCCAAGGGGTGTCCACACCCTTACGAAAAAGAACTACTGCCGATTACACATAAATATTACTAATAATTACATGGGAATATCGCTGGATATCACAGGAAATATTATTGGGTATTACAAAAATATTACTGGATATTACAAGAAATATTACAGGATATCACAGAAAATATTATTGACAATTACATAGAATGTCAATAATTATTTCGTACCACTGCCGAAATATATTACTGCCAAAATATATTATTGCCAAAATATTACTGCCTAAATAAAAGAGGCTTTTTGGAATAATTTCAGTAGAGTTACTGATAAGACAATATTTTAATAATGATTTCCAGTTAATTTTAAAAGATAATTAATAGACACAACGACCAAAATATATTATTACTTTTTTTTCATCATTGAAATAATAGTAAATATATATATTGGTGATGTGTCCAATAACTTTCGTTTTAAAATTAACTGAAAATTATATTACTAAAATATTGTTGCTTTATCAGTAACTACTGAAATTATCCCAAAAAACTTCTCCTATAAAATCTTATATGTTACTTCAATATACATTAAACACGTATATAATAAAATAATAGCTATTTATTGCATACAATTTTATATATATAATATATATATACAAATATATATTAGGTATATTTTTTATTTATTAAACTCAGAAATTTTTGCAAACTTTAATATACTCAGAAATATTGCATACTTATACTCAGAAAACTTGAAAAAAAACGAAAAGTATTCTTTGCATTATTGCATTTGCTACGAACAAAAAACTTAATTAAAATATTTTAAAAATTAAAAAAAAACTTAAAAAAGTCACATGTTTTGCACTTTGCATTTGCTGCAAACGAATTTTTAAAGAAAGTTAACAATATTTTTTTGCGTTATTACATTTGCTGCGAACAGCAGCTCGAAATAATTTTTCATTGTCCCGAGTCTTTCCTCCAAACCGTTCGTATATGTACGCTGTAAAAAAATTAGATTTGATGTAGATATCTTGAAAACACCGATTACAATATTTAATAATTCTCATTTATTTTATGTTATTATTTATTTTACCTGCAACATCTGCTACATGTGTAGGATCAAGCTGTTGTGTCGATGCTTTTGGGCAGTTTTTTCCTTTATTCGCATTAGCCTGCTTCCCTGTTAAGCTGCTTTCTCGCAGTTCCTCGCGATCGAACACTAATCCAAGTAATTCGCTTGCCATCATTGATAGGCCGTCTTTGTCATTCATTTTTTCCAATTGTTGATTGCTTAAAAACCGATCTCCAAAATATTTTCCATTTTCCTGTAAATTAAACAGAGAATTCTTTTAAAAATATATTACCATAGAGTACCATAAAATTACAAATTATTGTCTAATTTATTGAGTAAAATATTATGAATATATTATTAACCTTTAATTTGTTCTCATTACTACTGATCGTCATCAGTTGTCGTTTCTCGTCACGTTTTGTTTCAACGGTTTTAAGTACACGATTTTTCTGAAAAATGTAATTTATAAGTTATTCTGAATTGTAACTGAGTCATTTTTCATGATAGTTTATTATTAAATATTAAATTAGTGTGTATAAGTATAAAAGTGTATATTTTGCTTTATAACTATAATCAACTTTGAATTCTTTTGTATTGGCCTTTTTAAAAACAAGATAAATTTAATATTACATTATAATATTAAATAATAAACTATCATAAATATTTATAAATAAATAAATATATATATGTATTGTGAATGAAATTTTACCATTTCATTGTCATCCTGTGGAACAATCGTTTTATTTTTATAAGGTACTCTAAAAACTGCGTAATCATCGTTCAATGAGTCTTCATTTATTGGCGGATCAAATGAATCTATGAAGCCGTCAAAGACAATTTTTTGGGCATTATCTTCGGCTCTCTCTTTATGTAAATTGTCTACATTCTGTAAAAGAAAAAATGTTTTACAAAATATCTATTTCTATTTTCTTTTGTTTAGTGAGCTGAAAATGCAGGTGTATATTCAACTTATTTTAAACTTTTTTTAAAAACTTATTTACCTGTTTTTTTGTTTCCCGTTCATTAACTTTTAAAAGTCTTAAAATTGTCGTCGTCATGTCTTTTATGTCTTTTAAATCTAAAAACAAAAAATATATACATATTGATATATAATTTTTAATAAAAATCTTATATTATTTTACATTTGTGAAAAAAAAATAAATCTAAACCTTTTGCGCTAGCTATTTTTATTTCTTTATTTTCTTCTTTTAATTTTAAATTTTCGGCTTCCAACGCTCTATTTTTCTTTCTCAAAGATACCGTTTCTTCTGTAAATTTTATTTTATTGTTATGTGATGTTGATAGAGTTCTCATTGATATTGCACAATCATCATCTGATGACGAAGTCGAATCCGAATCTGCACGAGTCACCTATAGATATGTTGGAATTATTACAGTAAAAACATCTTTTATTTCTCAGTAATAAAAGTAATGCACTTTTTCAATAAATAAATAAATAAATAAATAAATAAATAAATAAATATATATATATATATATATATATATAGATTCTTACACTTTGTGCCTCTGATTGTGATTGATCCTTTTTTTAATTTTTTCCAGTATATTTCCCGCCACTTTTTTTGCAGCACTGGTTCGACGTTTATTTGTATCCTAGCAAACAAAAATACAAGACATATTAGTGACATTATTTTTAAAAATGTATATATTTACTGAATTATCTATTATATAACAATTAGTATAAAGTGTTTATGTGTTTAAGAACAAGTTCGTAAAATTTGTTCTCAAACACATAAAAACAGATTTTTATACTAATTGTTATATATATATATATATATATATATATATATATACATAATAGATAAAAGTAATGAAAAGAATTGAAAGTATAATATGTAAAAAATCAAGCTATAATTAAGACATAAAAGTAAGACATTAATTAAATCAATTCTTAACATGATCAAAAAACATCAGAAATTAAAGAATTCACATCGCATATATCTTAAGTCTACAGTATTTTATAAATACTATTTTATTAATGTCTTACTTGTATGTGTTAATTGCAGCTTGAAAATTTTTTCATTTACAGCGCATGCATGTTAAGTCTACAGTATTTACATAATACTGTAGACTTTAAGATGTATGCGCTGTAAATTTTCTAATTTTTGATGTCTTTTGTTCACGTTAAGAATTGACTTTATTAATGTCTTACTTATATGTGTTAATTGCAGCTTGAAAATTTTTTCATTTACAGCGCATGCATGTTAAGTCTACAGTATTTACATAATACTGTAGACTTTAAGATGTTTGCGCTGTAAATTTTCTAATTTTTGATGTCTTTTGTTCACGTTAAGAATTGACTTTATTAATGTCTTACTTTTATCTTTTACGGCTTGAAATTTTTAATTTTTTTCATACCTTTAATTCTTTCTTTTTATCATCCTCTTCACTACTACTGCTGCCTTTCTTCTTAGCAGCATACTTCTTCCTATCTTCCTTCATTGGATTTGGCTCATCATATTTAAGATAATTTTTAAGCTGCGTGTTCATGCTTGTCCAATCTGTGAATATATAAATGTAGATATTTATAATTTTACAAATTTACAAGTATCCTAATTAAATAATATTTGTCACTGCCATATATGCAGTAAAGTAAATATAATAAAATTTTTTATTTAAAAACTATACTCATATTAATAACCTCCAAATCCTAAAATGGACACGATGTGCGGAGTCCACTTGCAATTAAGAAATTTTTTCTTCATTTTTGCATTCAGTGGACCAACGATGCAATTCGCCGGCCAACGAATAACTACATGTTCACCGCTTTTTATAAGTGCATTTACACGTTCTTCTTCTTTCACTGTTGTTAGCCATGCGAAATATCCAACGGCTATATTTCCGTTCTCGTTAGGAAACTCTACGAGAATACACTTTTCATCGTTCAACTCCTCTGTGTCATTCACCTCCATTATCCGATAAATACTATAATTATCTATACTTTCCAAATTCCTCCGAATTCCTTGTTAGCACGATCGTATCGCGAGTATGATTCTTTCTGGTTTATCGCGTTATCCTTATGCGCGTACGCATGCGTTCCACAACGCATGCTCAACGCGCAACAGTTTGCATATCACCTCGTTATCACGTGGCTCTATGTTTTTGTATACATTACATCGATGGTTTTGAAACGAAGTATTGAGAATAATGAAACGAGGCCCTTATAAAGAACATTTGAAAAGGACTGGCGACCTTCCTCTATCGACAGACTATTCTCGAAAGAAAAGACGAGTTGGTGTTGGTGAATGTAGTACGGGCAAGAGAACGACATACAATGAAGAGGTTATGTCCCCTGATGCACGTGTAAGTACATAATAAATAATTATAAATTTGCATTTTCTAAAATATAATTGTAATATTTGATTTACTTACATGAATTTTGAAGTTATAATTTTATTGACATATGTTTTTCTTTATATGTTAAGTATTTGCAATTTGTATATATATGTATTTTGACACATGAATATTATGTGTAGAATGGACTACCGTTTGATGATCTGCATGAAAATGAAGATTATGTAAATCAACAGGAACTACTAGACCATTTATGTATTGCAAATCTTGATAATATTGATGATAGTAATTCATCGGTTCAAGAAATTGATGACAGTGACCAGCAAAGTGATACAAGCATAAGCGATGATAATAATGATTATGACAGTATTGAAGAGCACAAATCATCAAGTGTTAGCGATTTCAATGAAGGCTCCGAGAATTTCGAATCAGATCAGGATGAAGAAAATTTTGAAGATGAAAATATTAATGTTGAAAAGCGTTGTCCCAATCATGACGTACAGGTAAACAAATAAATTAAAGTTATTATTACGCATACAATATTTTTAATAATATTTAAAAAATATTACAGTGCCGACAAGTTTTATATGAGGGCTGCGATTTAACAAAAGAAGAAAGTGTACTTCTAATAATGAGTGTAGCCTTACGTCATCATTTCACTGATGCAGCATTACAATCTTTCATCCAAACCATTGATTGTCATCTTCCTCGCACATGTCACGGTTCGAAATATCTATTTTGTAAATCTGTACCAAAGCAGACTTATCATGTATATTACTTTTGTCCACAATGTATACTTATTTTACATGTTGACAATGACTGCATTACTGTAAAATGCGATAATTGTTCTGAGCAGTATAACCCATCACAGCTCAAAAAAGATGGAAAATTTTTTATATATATACCGCTGAAAGAGCAACTAATCGAGTTAGTTAATTCTAAGGTTTTTATGCAATTTCGACAGGAAAACGAAAAGGAAAGTGACGTTATCAATGGTAAAGTGTACCGTAAACTGAAAAGAAAAAATATTATAGGGGAAAATGACATTACTATTCAATGGAATACAGATGGCGTACAACTTTTTAATTCTTCCCTATCTTCTTTATGGCCAATTTTGGTAACAATTAATGAATTGCCTTATCGTATTCGAAAACAACAAATATTGCTAACTGGTTTATGGTTCCAATCAAGTAAACCTCCAATGAATGTTTTTCTCCAACCTTTTCTTGAAGAACTGATAGATTTACATTTTAATGGCTTTGAAAGCACGACATTCATTCACCAAGAACCAATTCTTATAAAAGTCCATACATTGCTTGCTCCGGTTGATTCTGTTGCCAGATCAGCCATTCAGGGTATAAAGCAGTATAATGGAAAGTATGGGTGCCCATATTGTTATCATAAAAGAAAACAAATTTGTATAGAACAAAATAGGCGAAAACGAGTATACTGTGGCAATATATGTACTTTACGTAAACAGAGCCATTACGTGCGTCATGCTGAAAAAAGTCAAGAAAAAAATAAACCAGTTAAGGGCGTCAAATGGCCATCAATTGTTACACTTATACCACTGTTTAACGTCATTTCATCATTTCCGCCGGAATATTTGCACAGCCTGGCAGAAGGTGTAATTAAACAATTTTTGATGGCATGGTTTGATTCTAGCAATCGTGAGAAAGATTGGTCCTTACGTAAGCACGAAGTGCTCTTTGATAAAAGATTAATGAGCATGAAACCTACCTCCGAAATAACTAGAACACCTCAATCAATAACACAACGGAGATTGTGGAAAGGTGCAGAATACAAAAATTTTGCTTTATATTATTCTCTCATATGTTTAAAAGGGTTAATGCCAAATAAATATGTACAGCATTGGTTGTTACTAGTTTACAGTATGCATGTTTTTCTAAGTACAACAATATCTCCTAATAATTTTATCATAGCTACGTTTGCGCTCCAAAAATTTGTACTTGATACTGAAAAATTGTATGGAGCAATGTTTATGAACTACAATATACACTTGATGTTACATATTCCAAAAGCTGTAAAACAATTTGGCGCTTTGTGGGCATGGTCAACTTTTCCGTATGAAGATTTTAATCATACTATACAATCACTTTTTAACGGCACTCAATATATTCCGGAACAAATCTGCAAATTTTATTCTCGTATAAGATACGTAAAACAAAGTTCAGTTTTTGATCAGCCTAATTGTAGTAAAAAAGGAAAGGATCTTTTTGATTCTATTATAAAAGAATGTCGAATTAAAAGATGCATGGAATATGGAAATTCTTTGCGAGCATTTGGTTCTGCAATTATCATAGAGTTATCATTAATAGAAAAAATAACTGTCGAACAATTTTTGGGAGAATCAGTTAAAAACAAAGCACTAGCTTATCAGCGATTTATATACCAAAATATTCTCTATCATGGTTCCAATTGTACTCAACTAAAAAAAGATGTAACAGTACAATTTTAACTACAGATAGATCGTTATTAGATATTCAATATCTATGTATAGCAGAAACATCAGCAGGCATAAAAAAACAATTGTTAATTTGTAAGGTATTGCAAACACTGCGTGGTGATGAAATATGTAAAAATAGGAATATAACGTCAAATCTTTTCTCTTACGTTATAGAAAAAACAGACATTATTAAATGTGTATTTCCTTCTGCGATTAGAAAGAAATGTATTAATATTCCTGTTTATTCCACAAACAATATTAATTATGATAATAATAAGCGATGCATAATACCTCTTGTAAATAATATAGAAACTGATTGAATTATATAAATAATAAGAATTATGAAATAAGTTTATAATGAAAAATGTAAATGTAAAAAACATATGTAAAAGTAAAAATGTAAAAAAATGTAAATTTAAAAATCTATACATGTAAAGCAATAATTGTTTTAACATTTGTATTAAAAGTCTTTTCTTCCAAATAAAAAATAACGTTGATAGTATGTAACTTATTGTACGTTATTCACTTTGTGACATTGTAAATTTTAACATTGTAAAAATTTTAACATTGTAAAAAATTATTTATTGCAGAAAATATGGAACATTAATTTTTAAATATTTTAGACATTAAAAAACGTTCAATAAAATCTTTCGTAAATAATTAAAATAAATAAAAGCAAAAACTTATTAAATATATAAATAATAATTTATACTATATATTTATAAAACATTTATTTTTAATTAAATTTACATTATTCATATATAAAAACACCTAATATTATTTGTATCTTTGCAAAAATATTTTGCTGCTTTATTTGAAAGAAATATTTAAACCTTCTAGCATAACAAAATTTTAAAGTTTTTATATTTGCAATAACATTTTCAATATTTCTGCTTATATTATATAATAGAATTAATCATGAGCGACATCCAGTAATATTTGCGTGTAATTTGTACCCTCAGTAGTTATTACATATGCAGTGATCTTTCTAGTGATACCCAACAGGCGAGTAATATTCGTCTGTATTCCGTTGCTAGTAATTATTATAGAGGCAATAATATTCGTCTTGATAATTACAGAGCCATCAGTAATAATCACACAGCCGCGTGTAATAATCACACGGCCGGCAATAGTTCCTTTTCGTAAGGGCACAGCAAAAATGCAATAATTTCTTTGCGTTATGTGGAGCTGTCCCTGTACTTGGAAGTAGTAATTACGTTTTGAAATTTATATATGTATATATATAGATATATATATATATTAATTTCAATATATACATATATATAAATTATTATTTATCTATTACATATACGATACACCTTTTATTCAAATAATAGAAAAAACAAAGAATGAATAAAATTTATTCATTTCATTTTTATTTGTTTTATAAAATTTTATTCAAAATAATATATTAGCAAAATCATTTATTGCGACTTAAAATCATAATATTACGCTAATCGATGTACAGCATTCATCTTATAAGATTTCCATGTGTTACTACCTCACAATACTATTATAAATAAATGTGAAATTTAATTTGCATTACTTTTATATTTTCATATATAATGAGCAGATGTAAAATATTTCTCATTCGTGTGCGTAATATATTGGTTTTGTATTTATACTGATTTTACACATATCAAATGCAAGAGAGACAAAGATAGAATGATACTCTCTCCTTGTCAAGCTGTCAGTATGTTACCACGAAAAATTCCCCATGAGTATAGATCTAGTGAGATTTGTTCATCCCAAATATTACATAAAAAGAAGTTACGTAGCTTCGTGAAATATTTTTTAATATATTCTTTATATAATAAAGCAGGGAGACAAAGAGTCAAATTTTGCATTATTGCTCTTAAAAATTTATAATAAATTAAATGCGATCTCGTGGCTAACCCAACCTTACCCGCTGCTAGCTGCGCATCTCCCCAAGTTATATTATGAATTTTATATTTATCTTTTTTCCAAAAAATCGATCTTTGTCTCCCTGCGGACAATCCTACTGATTAAGAATATCGTAAATTTAATAAGATTCATTAAGTATTTTGGCTAATATATGGGATGAACGAATCCGTAATTCCCGGCCGGCCGATAGGCGTCTCCACCATGTCGCCTGTCGACCCTTAAGGGTCGACAGGTCGGTCGGCCAAACTCCGAATTGATGTAGGAGACCTCGCGCGGTGACAACGCGAAACTCCGATTCAGTGTTGCCAACGCCGAGAAACCAATTCTCGGGTTTTATGTAATGGTGCATGTCTGTACACGTACATACACCACTGCATCGCTCACGCGGACGCACGTAGAGAGACAAGGACCGATAATCACGTGTTCTCCTTGTTCCTCTACCGTGCCGGTATACGCGAGATGCCGCCTAAAAATGCTTTCTGGCCTTCCGTAGCAGAAAGCAGTAACGTAGCAAGACTAATAAGCACCCATTTTTGTACATTTATATATGCTTATGCACATATGTGGATATATTATTTATATATAAATATATATATATATAAAATGTACTAATTTACTCTCAATTATATGCTACTGTTATTATTTATCATTAGACAATTATAAAACAGAGGTTATAGATTTGGTCTGACTACACTGGCCTCAAATTAAAGTTGTATATATATTTATTTTAACGTTTCGACCATACGGGATGTGGTCCTTTTCAAAAATACAGATTGGAATATCAGAGATGAGTTACAGCATTTCGTCTTTAAGATGTAAGCGCAAATTATGATTCGGAGAGATTTAACTTGTCAAATAATAAAATATAAAATAAATTATAAAACATATACATATATAATTTGTAGTGCTATATATATATATATATGTTTTATAATTGTCTAATGATAAATAATAACAGTAGCATAATTGAAAGTAAATTAGTCTACAATGTTAGACACGGGTACTTGTTAGATTTGATAATTTATTGCTTATATTTTTCGAGAGACAAGAATAAGAGAACGAATATAAATTATTATTAGCTTGTATAGCAATCATAGATTGACGAATATGCGTTGGTTATTCTTGATTCTTTTCTATTATTGATGTTATTGTATAATTTGCTCCATAAATACTATAACATAAAGAACTTATGTCGAGTAATATTGATCAATGCAAAGGATGTTCAGTATGTATCACCCAGTAATTATTAGAGTTCAAATATATCAATATCAATTTTTTAATAATATATTGGAATACAGAGAAATGATAAAAAAATATATTTCGGCAATAAAAAATTTTATAAATATTTGAAAATATTTTTCACTACACGCGCGCGCGCACACACACACACAACCACACCCATATACACACTATATAAATGCAAAATAA